ATAAGCAATAAAAACTGCTGGAGGTCTTTGTTGAAAACAGCTTGCATTCCAAATTCTTACTTTTCACCTACTTATTACCCAATTCACTCAATTACATCTATTAGACAAAGCACAATCACCCTTGCAACAATTCCATAAACAGTGGTGGCAGATGCACAGAGCCTTAACGGACAGGATAAACTTGGCGTGCTAAGACAAAACTCTTAAAAGAAAGATTTTACACAAGATGACTTTGATTCTTTTATAAAATTGTTAAAAGAACTGTCAGTCAGGACATAACTGATCCTTAGGCAATGCTCCATTAGGAGTAAAACCCACCTAACTGGAGCAGAAATGACAACCTGAGTGAGCCCTCGTGCACCTATTTTTGGCTTCAATTTTAAAGACCAAGGACACAAACCCTGATTTTAGTGACTCTCTTAGATTTGGAAATTTTTCTGGGAGCATCCCAGGGTATTCTAGGGAATCCTGCATACTTACTGCTATAGAGATTGGACATGGACCTGAAGAGAATGAACACTTTCAGTGAGACAGGATATCTTACTGCACTGAGTGTCCCATGCCTGATACTTCATGAAGTTTTCTTCATCATCTCATTTCTCTGCAATATTATTATTCATTGAAGTGCTACGTATTTCAACAGAGACAGAAGCTCTCCATGTAAGTACCTGAGGACTGCACACACAGAATTGACAGATACATTAGGCTGACAGGTTGTCAGGAGCTGTAGAGATCAGCAAATATAAGAAACACAATAAAATGCACAAGGAATGGGGGGAACACTCTTCACTCTTACTCAGTCTAGGTAAACACAAGATTTGAACTCAGCATTTAGAAACACCAGGAAGATACATGATGCCTTGCTGCCCATGATATTGTGGTGTCAGTGTTTCAGTAGGCATTTTTGTAGAGGGAAAAGCGTGCAGAAGCATGACAGTAGACATGATCAGTATTTATGGAATCTTTTTTTTGTCTCTGCTGAGGCTGACCACCTCACTGAGCAGACAAAATGCTTGAGATATTTTTTTTCCCCCTGTCTATGTACAGTGCCTAAAGTAACAAAACCTTTTATATGCCACTGCTGTGTAATCTGTGGTTATTACTACCAGTAGCAAAATATGGTAATCAGAAAATATACAGAAATGTTCCACATTAGTATACATTGCAGGAGGGGAAAGCAAGAAATGGCTAAGGGTAAGAAACAACATAAATCAATTTCAAGTGATTTTTCCATTAAAATAATGGCAAATTATAAATCCAAAAATTATCAATATTATGGCTATCTTATGAGAAACAAAGATAAATGAAGAACATCAATAGCTATCCTATTCTGTTCCTACACACTTATTTTGTACATAGAAGATCTACCCAGGGCTACCACTGGGAATCAAAGAAACTCTTCAGGTACAATAAAACTCAGCGATTTTGTCCTAACCCCAAATCAAGTCCCAGGGTAACTTTCGCAAAGTGGGATAATATTTCTCAACCTATTATTTTTCATTCCGCCTAAATTTCTGGATAAGACTAAAATACCCTGATGGAAGCTGTACTTGTATATTTCCAGCTCAGTTGGAAATAGAGTATCATGGGGAAAGTGTGCTATTGTGGAATTTTCAGTCCAATGTCATGAAGTTCAGGCAAGTAGGATAAGCATCAAAATGACTGTGTTTACTGACATTGTATTGAATAACCTGCCAATGCCAATAAAAGTTCAATTTAGTCAGATATCCTAATCTAATTATTAAAAAAAAGTAATTTGAATAATTTTACTGCTCATTATAGATGAATAACGCATAAATTATGCCCATATATTGCCCTACGACATTGACTGGAATGAGACATTTAATTTTTTAAGTACAAATATACAGTGAGAGACTATGGCTATGGCAACGTTGTGTGCAAACCACACAAAAAGAAAAATAAAAAGATAAATAAAAGATATATTAGTTCCCTTGTAGTGGAGAAGCGCAAGTAACATTGCAACCTACCTCTCCTGCAATAAAGAAAAAAACTCACCTTTCTTTTTAATTCAAGTTCTAGGACAGACAACATAGCATAGATCCAGAGAGCTGTGAATTAGGACGAACACAAGCCTAAAAATGATGCCTAAAACTTCAGCAAATTTGTCAAGTGCTTTGATTGAGGTTGAGAATATGAGTCCAAATGGGTATACAGGAAGCAATCATTTTTTCGTGAAGAATACGTCCTTTACTGTGCACACAAATTCTTCCTTCAGAAGGCTGTAAATTACAGTATTTATGGAATCTTAATGATCTAAACACAGTTGGAGCCTGAAGGTCAAGGCTGCAAACTGCATCCTAAATTTCTGTTTACAGATGAAGCACAGTATTTATTGCTGTACTGCTTGTGCTGCTATAGTTAAAGGGCTGCCAGCATTTCCATTATAAACCACTATTTCAGGGGTTTATAACTTGCCTATCAATCTTCTGACTGGGATGAAACATGGCATGCAAGGTCCTGGCTGTGAGACTCAATCTTTTGTTTGTTTTCTTTACCAAATTACAAAAAGAATAAGCTTAAAGTTATACAAGCTAAAGAAAAAAAGTATATCAGGTTTTTCAAGTACTTCTGGTGTTCCTGCAATACAATCATAGCTTCAGAACACAAAATATATTCATATAAGTCCATCAATTAATAAAAGGACTTTTGATCCCTAGAAAGATAATCCAAAAAAAGACGTTTGTTTAGATGTTTTCTCCCCCTTTAATTAAGAAACTGTACTGCAGGTTTTTAATGGCAAGAAAGGAAATCAGAAATCTAACAGTGTCCTTGACTGGTTTATCTGTGTAGATTTTCCATTAAAGGTAACAATTACACACCTTGGCACAGTATAAAGAGTGTATTCTTTTAAAATGAGTATCTAAATGGTGATATACAAGGTGTACATATTTTCTATTATATATTCCAGATGATATTTGGTAAAATTATTCAAAGTCAGGTCAGAGTCAATGTTTCCTCCCAAATTTTGGAGCAACTTTATTGCCTACCCTTAAATCTTTTATCAAATTTAATTAAATCAGGAGGGGAACAAATACTAAATTCTCACTTCCACACTGTCTACTGGAAAAGTACTTCTGCTCTGTACTGAAATACTGTGAAGAGCAGGTGATAAATTTAAGTCACATTATACCTGCATATCTAGCAAATACATTTTGATAAACAACAAACTTAATACTGCAAGCAGTGCAAGAATTGAAATACTAGAAGACCTCAAAAACCCTCTTATTGGAATCCTAAGTTTTGGCATAATTTATTTTTACAAATAAAGAACTGGGCCAGATTCAACAATGTGCCCTTGCAATGCAACACAGACACATTACATTATATTAAGCAGTTTTATGGCTCCTTTGCAACACCATACCAGTTCAGACATGACAGACAGCAGTGCTAAACCTGGAATATGAGAATTTATTTAATCACATTTTATTTCTTTATGTTATAAATCCAGTCACAGCAGGAAGGAAGTAAATTAGCCCCTCCCCAAATGTAATTATTATATTTTCTTTATTATAGCTGTAGGGCTTTTTTTCATTCACTGACATTGCTGGGTTCCCCACAACTACCTTTCTTATTTTTTCCCTTTGCTTTTGTTAAAAGATGACTGGACTTGTTTTATGCCCTTCCTAACACTTGGAAGAATCTCTTCCTCCTGTTGCTGTACTTTTTGCTTTCCTTCCCAAGTCTACTTCTACCATGTGTTTATTTTATGTCTACTCAACATAAAATCACTTGCACTGAGATTTTTGATAATTTTTCCCATCAACTGAAACAAAGAACTGTTCTGCTATTCAGTTAGTTCTGGTTGCAAGTGCATTTATATTCCGAAATAACGCAGATACCTCATTTACTCTTATGTCCTGACTCTGGTCTGTCTCCTGTATATCTGTGTTGTCTTCCAAGCTCTCTTTTTTGAGCAAGCAAACCAGTTTTCCCTAAAGTAAAACCTGGGTACGGCTTTAGGGACAGTTTCACCTGGGAATGCCCCCTAACGAGCAGTATGGATGAGCCATCGGGTATCTTGAGCTGCAGAGTCCTTCAAAATTATCCCAGCAGAGCTGGTGAAGTCAGACAGCCCACACTGCCTCCTGTGCAGCCCAGGGCACTCAGGACATGCCCTTGGGGTCGAGCTCTGAAACTCCACACTGATGAGCTGCAGCGCTCAGACAGTTTGTACTGAAGCACACGGACACACTTCATGACTTCTCCTGAGGAGCCAGAGCACCAGGCACTCCTCAGGGCATGCTTGGCCAATTCTTGTTTTTCAACCTTTTTTTTTTTAAGCTACTGATCGCTGTAAGTTCAGGGTTTTTTATTTTGTAGAGGAATCAACAGTGAGAGATACAGCAACTGCTGACTTTCTTCTTAGACAGTAAAAGATGGAATGAGTATGATGTCTTAAAATCAACCTGGGTAGTGCAGCTGAACCCGTATCAGAGAATAACTCCAACCAGAGACAAGATGTTATGAACAGTGACTGACTAAGGCCTCCTCATTCACTGCATTGTACTGCCTTTGACTGGTTGAAATGCATCCAAGAACCCTGCTATATAATTAAATATGTTAAATAATGCTACAGAGTATCTTGTATAATTCCGAATCTTCAATGAACTGTAAAAAGTTTTAAATAAAATATAGGTGGAGCTTGTCAAGCAGTATTAGACCTCAAAATATTTTCTTTTTCTGGAAGCTTACTGTACCGTCTAACACACATATCTGTCATGCTGCCTGGGTTGCAATCACACCGTACATCTTGTTAGCAAAGATGTCATGACAGAAATGCTACAGTGCTGCATTCTAATGACCCCTTGTACTGTAATGAATCAATGTTTTCTGCAGAGAGGATGTGATAGGAAAAAATAGCTTTAATCTCAGATACTCACTGAGGTTTGGTGGGTTTTTTTAAAGTACAACAGTTTTGCAAACCGAGCCAACACTGAAAACCGTTTTAGCTCAAGTAAAGAACACGTGGAACACCCCACCTGTAAAGTCCTGGAGGAGCTCTATGAACCAGGAAGCTTTTCTCCAAGCTTTGTAGCACGTCATTGAGCATCCTGACTCTGACAGGAGCTCGCTCCTTGGGGTCGTTGGCCGGGCGCATCTCATCCGACTGGAACAGCTCGGCCGTGTCCCTCAGACGTGAGGCCACTGCAAGCAACTGAGGAACGCCTACTTCATCACCTGGGAACAGCAAGAGCAAGACAGTTGCCAGTGATTCAGAGAACACCACTTATTACTCCTGCTTATAAGCCAAAATTAATAGCCCAATTAAAACCGGAGCCTCTTTTCCCTTGAGGGGTTTGTAATGGATCAAGGAAAGCCATAGATCACTCTGCATAACCTCTGATCCTTTTTTTCAAAGATCAATTTGGGCTCTGATGTTTTAAGATCTAATAAGCCGTGAGGAATGATTTTGGGGTACAGATTGAAGTCTAGCATTGGAAAAAACAGGCCTGAAGGAAGCAATGGTTATAAATCAGGAACTATAGCATTTCCTTCTGAGACAGCATTTACTCAACGCCATTTGATGCTACTGCTCTCAAGTCTGAAAGCCTGTGCCTGGATTCCATAATGACTGCTGTATAGAAAATTGTAATATGCAGTTTAATTGAATTTGATTGAATGTTTTAGAATCCTAGAGGTTAACAACAGTTTTAGAGGGGATTGAAATTGTTCCTCTTAATCACTTAAATTATATGCCAATGAGCCAACTTTAATTGATATCCAAATGCATATTCCAATCCAGTCAGTATTTTCAAAACTTTTTAAATATGGAGTGTTAACTATTGCTTTGTTAGCAATCCTACACCGACACCAAAAGAATAAAAGCCTGTAGCCCTTCAGAGCACACCTTGATCTCAGTATTTCTCTGGTCATTGGGATATGACAGAGGAATGTGAAACGTGAATTGGAACACTGTGAATGTGCAGTCTATTCCCACCTGCAGTGCAGGTGGAGAGCACGGCCTCCTTTCCCAGTGTGTGCATAGACTGCTTTCCTTTTTACAAGCACATGGAGAGAAAAAGCAGAGTCTGAACCTGATATAAAGTCAGAAGTAGTATCAGTCACCATAAACATTTCCAGGATGCAGAAATTATCTTAAGGCAAAAATTCACTTCGCCTATTGACAAGAAAATCAACTACCCTTAAATCTTTCAAATGATATTTTCGTCAACATAAACCATGCAGCTTTAGGAGCTGAATGTAAAAATGTCAGTGAGTTCATTATCTTAGTGACTGAGATGATTAAGTCAAGAAAGTGGTTCAAGACACAAGTTAAATGAATGTTAAACTTCCCTGTCTAATAGATACATGGAGAAATCAAAAACAGTAATTGGAGAACACTGACATGGTTTAAACTCAGCTGGCAACTAAGTGCCACGAAGCTGCTTACTCACACTCTCCCGCTTCCCTGATGGAATGGGGAGAATAATCCAAAGAATAGAAAGGTAAACAAGCAGGTATAAGGAACAAATCAAGGACATGCCTGAATATAATATGCTGTCCCTCAGATGGAAAAAGAGAGTTGCTACTGGATAAATTCCAGTAAAGGAAAAGGATTTCATAGATCCCCATGTACTCCTGCCATTCAGCTAACACATTCCAATCTAGCAAAACATGAAATGATCCAAAATACACGGAGAGACAGATGCTGGCGTGAGAGAAACTGTCAGATTTCCTGAGCTATCAATATGAATTTCAACAATGAACAGGAGTTCCCTGTGAGAACAGGAGTGAGAGAAGATGGTTTATGTCTGCTCTGGTTTGAGACAAGGTTCTTTTGTTAATGACACTTGACCAAGCCACCTTTCCCTAATAAGAATGGATAACAGGCACTGTGGTACCTTGATATAGGATTGGTACCTTTCTGACTGAGTCTGGAGCAATTTAAATTCTGATCAAGTTAGGTTGATGCCTCAGAAAAATATCCTCCAAGTATATAAACTTGGTACATTTGCGGTATTTTGCAAAATATCATTATCCTTAATTTTCAAATCTCCGGCAAACATCCTGTGCAGCTGAAGAACTTGCCATTCCCATGTATATAATGTAGGCACTGTGCATAACTTACCCTGGCACTTCTGTCCCTATGGAAATATTTAAATTCACCCTATTAGAAAGAATCCTTTGTTTTCAGCCAAGCACTTTGTATTCCAAGTAACAGAAAACATTTATAACTTTTAAACAATTGTAAATGTCAGCTTTGCCTTTTCAGTGGTGAAGGTGAGATAAAAGGAAAATCCATCTTTCCATACTTGGAAATGAAGCCAACCAGACCACCCTTTTAAACACCTTTTTAATCCTGTAAATGCTCCCACTCATTCTCCACAGCATTTTGCACCTAAACCAACCACATTTTTGTTCACAGTCATGAGTAAGAGGCACTGCTTACCACATACTCTAAACCAGCACTCAGAAAACACACACCCAGGGCCCTCTTTAATACTTCAGTACAAAACCTGCACATGTCCATGGCCAGAGTTACCACAACAAACTAAGGACAGAACGGGCCTCACAACACACGGAACTTCATCACCAAGGGAAACTGTGATTTATGCTTGTCTCAAGTCGAGAAACTGGGACTGGAAGGGCAAAAGAGAAGGATGCATTAACTAAAGGTGGCTTAAACATCTTGTGATGCTTTTACAGAGAAAATCAAGCACAAGTATTACTTCGCTCAAGAGAAAACAACGCCACGTTATTATATTTTGTATTCTTTGTCCTTTTGTCTCCAGTATGAATCATGATGAATCATCTAAGCTAGCTGTTTAGTTGCTATAAAAATAAAATTGCAAGTACAAGAAAGTGACTCAAGAGCATGTATACTCTTGATCAGAGAATTACACTGTTGAATTTCATTACACTTGCTAAATGTAACTGGATTCTATTCAGAAATAGGTTACACCAAATAGATATTTATTTTTACAGATACTGAATACAACAGCCTTTCCCCATGTAACTGATTGCTCTTATGAAAAATACCGCTAGAGATTTAACATTTTTAAATTGTGCTTGTGCCCTCTGCTATGAACGTACTTGCCTACAAGTACCTACAGGAGAGCGAGCACAGACAAATCAGCAGCTCTGCTTAAGTTATGCTTGCTCACCACGCGTGTGAACATGTGTTTGCATGTAAGAGAGAAGGGAAATTGCTTCAGGTTTTGATTAGCTTGCAAATTCAGAATCAGCTATGGTGTGCTGCTGTATTCACTAGGCAGATTTTTCATGCTGTGCAAAACAGGATGATCAGGCCAGGCAGCAGAAAATCTGAATGGGAAAGCTTTGTAGGAAGCACCCTAAAGGGGCAGAAACACAAATCCACAGACATCCTCAGTGCAAAGAATATGTTGCCATCAGCTGTAATTTTGCTACCATGACTGCTATTGCCCAAGCAAACTAATCTGGTGTTGCTACAAGAAGACTCTTTTCGAAGGGGCTACCACTAAAAGAGGCATGTTGTGACACATCACTACATGCATGTCAATACAGAAGGAGCCTGGAGAAGAGCAGGCTCCAGAGAGACTTTATTGTGCTCTTTCAGTACTTAAAGAGGGCTTTGTAAGAAAGATGGGAATAAAATTTTTTAACAAGGGATGTTGCAATAGGACAAGGGGTAATGGTTTTAAAATAAAGATTAGATTTAGACTAGGTGTAAGGAAGAAATTTTTTTTCAATGAAATTGCGAAACAGTAGCACAGGTTTCCTGGAGAGGTGGTGGATGCCCCATTCAAGGCCAGGATGGATGTGGCTCTGAGCAACCTGGTCTAGTGGAAGATGTCCCTGCTCATTGCAGGGGGTTTGGACTACATAGTCTTTAAAAGGTCCCTTCCAACACAAACTATTCCATGATTCTATTAAGCTATCCATGACTCTGTACAGAGCCACTGAACTTACATGGCCTACAGGTACAGATTAGCTGCTCATCCTTTCCCTTCAGTACCAAATGTTTTGTCCATGGAAAATGCATTTTTCCATTTTTTTTTTTTTTTTAAAGGCTGATAAAAGGCACTAATAGATACTAACCTTGAAAGGATACTGAAGACAAGATCTCAGTGTCTCATGGTAAAGAAGGAGGTATTTCTGTCATACATACAGATAATCTAGTGTTGCATTTTTCCCCTCTGTAGCAGTCAAGAATAATGGGTGGAAACAGTAAAAGGGGAAACTTTCTGAACATGACAGATGAGTGGAGAAATTAACTCTGAAAAGCACCCGAAATGATCAGGGAAATACAGTCAAGCAGACAAAATGACGCCAAGCTGAAGACTAGCAGATAGCTGTAGGCAATGAGCATGCAGCCATCAAGTAAATGAGAGAGATATGTTTTTGTATTGATTTTTCTAAGGACAGAGAGTTTAGCCTGATGTTTTGAAATGTATGGGTTGAATCAAGGCTGTGAAAAGTCACGCAGGCTTTCCTAGAAATGGCTTATCATAAACCAGATTATTTTTAAACTTCTGCTAGCGCTGCCTACTGTTATCACCCCAAGTACTTCAGCTGCTGTAACATCTGTACAACATCCATTCTGGGGAGAAGAAGGGACCTAACTGATAGAAAGCCACACACAATCGACACTGCACCAGCCAAAGAGCTTTAAATCACAGCTCCTGCACTTCCCACGGAGGGAGAACCAGAAAATCTCATCCACACTTAATTTGTCTTCTCGAGCCTCTCTGTGTCTCAGCCAGTGCCTATCAGAGATGGCTACAGTTTGCTCACCGGCTTCAGCAGCCTGTGATGACAGACTCAACTGGGGAATCTTACCTTGTCTGCCCAGTGCTGCACAGCCACAGGGCTGGGGCACAGACACCAATTTTTGGAAGGTCTGCATGAGTCTCGGTGTGCCCAAGTGACTGGGAATAACAAATGACATCAGCTTCTACAACACCCAAGTGAGAGACATGGTCAGCATCAACCTGGCTGCCTTTATTTTTGTAAACTGTGTGATTGAACTTCTTACTGCTGAGACAGTCAGGTGCAAAGGTACAGAAAAGCTTTTAATGCTAATGAGACACCTGAGCACCTCCATCATCAATCCCTGAAACTTCCTGTAACATACACTAAATTTTAGAGAGTCTCAAATCCAGCACAAGACAGGCTACAAGGAGCAAATCCAGAGTGCTAAATGTGTTCAGCAGAAAATACAAATATGTTTTGAATATTAATGCTTATATTAGTACAAAATACTTATACAAAAATGATTACATATTTCTGCTTGCATATACACACAAAATACTTCTACAAGAGGGCTTAAAAGTCGAATTTGTATCGGTCCTATAACAGATTTGACATGTGCCCTACTACAAAAGATAAATTGTGTTTCCACAGGATGCCAAGCCTAGCATTTGTACTTGATTCAACTTGCAGTGTCTTGATTTTAAATGCATAGAAGGCACAAGTTCCACACAACTGCAAGGTGTAGTTAATGAAAATATTTGAAGCTGTCACCTATTTATGAATTTGTCTAAAATATCACATCTGCAATCAGACAGCTTGACTAGCCCTGGGGACCTGGATTTCAGTCTTGGAACCCATCTCCCGTCATTTATGACCATGAGGTTTCCTGTTAAACATCAGACCATCAGCAGATGCACAAAATGAAATGTTTCTCCAGTCACAACCCTTCCTTTCAGATAAACCCAAAAGCAGTAGCTTGTTTCCAAGGGTTCTGGTGTGTGCAAATGGAGAGAACACATGTCACTTAACAGCCTTTTCCCCATCTCTCTGAGGTACAGGCCATGAGCCAGATGTGAACATGTTTTGGATGACATAACTTGCCATCCAGACTATCCTGAATGTAAGAAATGGTTTGTAAAGTGCTGAGTAATATACCATGGAATATAACAGAGCTACTAGTACAGACATTCACCACATTGCAGAGTTAAATCCTTTACAAACATAACTAAATGCAGTTATAGCAAATACAAAGGTGTACACAACATTTTTTTTGAGTGCATCCAGGAGACTGCAAAACAGTGACTCGAGTATTTATACACACGATTTAACTTCAAGCACATGAGAAAGTCCAATGGGGAATAAAATGGGTGTTTAAGGCACTGGCTGAACCAGATCCTAGAGGCACAAAATTAAGCCTAATGAGCATATCTAGCATGTCATGCAGATTTACCTTCACCTTTTCTACATTTACAGTTCGCATTGATTTGGGGGAGGAAACAGCTTACTAAGACAATGCCACTTTCAACTGGAAATTTCACACAACATAAAACATTTTGAAGAATGAAGAAAGCCATGAGCCATGTTAAAAAGTACAACTTTCAAGTAACCAGCAAAAAAAAGACTATTGTATTAATGTTTTCCAAAGTGAAAATAAACTTATTTGACATAAGTTGGAGATAGACAAGACATGAAAGTCATGAGAAAAATCATTAAACAAAACTCCAAAGTGAACAGCTGGGAGAAGATTTATCCTCCTAGCCCTACAGCCTAGGAAATAATTTTCCCTCCCCTGAAGTGGTAGAGATAAATGATTTAACTGAAGTTAGAGGGAAAATGTCACTTTAAATCAACATTTCCTGTTACTCAAAATAAAGAAAAAAGGAAGAACAATAGCAGGCATCTCATGTTCAGTTGAAGGAATACCAGCTGAGCCACACTTTTCATTTGATGATCATTCCCTGCTGTGTTTAGGCTGAACTAAACCAATGTTTATGTGGCTCAACAGAGCTAAAATTACTTGTCTTTTTAGATGCTCACTGATTCCAGACCAATACTTGCCTACTGAATCCTAGGTCTTGACAATGATGGATGGCAAAGATTAAATAAAAGGTATCATACTTCTATGAGTGTGTATTACAGAAAAGTGGTGCTTTATAGCGTAGGGAGTGAATGAAATGCAGGGGCAGCACCTCAAGATTGCAAAAAGTCTTTATGTTTGAGATAGAATCTCACATTCTGCTACAGTCTATGTATACTTTGGGTGTGATTTTCTAGAACTTACACCTTTATTTAACAGGTCAACTAGAGATATCCATAAATATGTAAATAAAAATATTTTTGAAAGGCCTTAGGATACTACAGGTAACCTGTATCAGAGCCATAATTGGAGACCAGGATATAACAACATGTTATATCTCACAGTTTCCCCCTGTGAGGTCCTAACAAGACAGTGCTTTGGAACAGTCTTTTAAATTTAACAGTCTTTTTAAATTTAAGTTCAGTGACTTCTGACCAGAAAACCAGCTTCTAAAATAACTCATTTTGTACACATTCGAGGAATGTGTTAGAGTTTGGCAGCTAAATTATCAAAAGATTTATTCTTCAAGGACCAAGCTTCTTACGTGCTCTCCGCAAACAGCATACTTTCAACTAGCATACTTTTCACTTAGGAAAGAAAAGAGAGTTGGATCTCATTTGAGTACACCAGAATATGAGGAATCTGCGAGGGAAAAGGGACTGCATGGAAGGAGGAAGACAGATGACACTGAAGGAGAAGGTTTATATGGATGAGTGAGACTAGACAGCATTAAAAACTAGACTTCCTCTCCCTCCTTAGACCTCAGGACTGGAGCTAAGGCATATTCTTTTCATAATTGATAAGAAGGTGACATATTGCTCTTCTGTAGTCTAGACACTAGCAGAGAATATCTCAGTAACATAATATGGGTTTAGTTCCCTATAACATATTAACATTTTTCTACTGCCTGTAGAGAGGGGAAAAGAAAAATAACAAAGAGCAGCCCCCATAAGCAAAGGGAATGCACAACTGCCCCCTGTAACTGGGTTATCTTAAACAGCTCTAGCCAAGGGCTATTGGCTTGGCTGGGTTCTGTTGTCAACACAGGACAAAGAGACTGCAGAAGGCCTGTTCTTTAATCAAGAAGGTAACACAGGAATATCTGTAATGGCATCCCAATCTTGATGTAGTGGTCTCACATCAAGGCACTCGTTCTATATCTAGCAAACAGTGCCAAACCTAGAGTCTACAAGAATTATCTCTACATAATTTCCTAGTTACCAGTGACTTCTGTTTACTTTCTGACTAGAAACTTTCTTGTCCATCTCCCTAATCCCAACCCATTATCCCAAACATGCTGTTGTCAAATATGGAGCTTGCAGCGTATCAGGGCTCAGTCAGCTCCAACAATATGCATTAGTAAATTATCTTGCTTTGTCACACCTGAAGAAAGAGAGAAGTTATCATGCTCTGCAACAAGATGAGTTAGTGTAATAAACAAGCAAGGAAGGTGACTGAAAATGAAGGAACCAAACAACAGTGGGATTAGAAGCCCTCTCTAGCTTGTATTGAACAAAGCCTTGAAAGGAATTAAAATCAAATTAAGTCACAAAGTTTGTTATTGTTGATTGCTGTGTAATTAGGACTTTTAAATACTAATTATTGCTTAATTGACAAAGTAATATCAGAGGAAATCTAAATATGTTATAGATTTCTTTAGCAACCAAACCTGCATTTCATGTAACACTATATAATGACAATGTTTAACTAGTAAAATCACTGGCTACCATTCAAGTGAAAATTGAAAATTCGTATTAGGGATTAGATGATTCTTTTTTTTCCCCTGAATTAATGGAGAACAACATTCTTCTAAAGAAAATTACCTTTGAGACTGTTCTGGACTTCTAACGCGATGTCGAGGGCATTAAACGGCAAAACTGGTTCATTGGCAATTTTCAAAGTCACTTGTCCTGTTAGCTGAAAAATACAAAAAAACCAAACAACTGTCAAATTATTTCTACCAGATTTAATAGCCAGCACTTCTTTTGGAATAGCACAGACTTGCATTATATTGGATTTTTAGAGAAAAATGAATAAACCCCCATTAACACATCTTTGTGGAGAGGAATGTGACCAGGACCATTTCCTGTCTAACACAGCATTACAAAATGTTCAGAGATTACAATTTGTGACCACACACAAGAATTCTGTGCAATATGCCTTCTGTGGACCCAGGATGTTGCAGAAGTCTCCGAAGGGCCTTAGTTTTCCTTTGTTTTCAAATAAAATGTCTCAATACTCTAAACATAGGAATGAGGTTTATTGTTTTACTTAGTCCTCTGGTTTTAGCTATTGGATTTTGAGAGTTTACACAACTAAAATAAAATAAATGATCATAGGCATTAAGGATCTGGAGATCAAGCCCAGGGTTAAATGCAAGCTGACCTGAAAACCCACTACCTTTTGAAGTGTTATGTGACAACTCAATGCACACAGATGTACAGCTTCCAAACTAAATAGAACACTACATTGTGTAGCGAGTTACAGTAAGTTACAGAAAGGCACTCCCAAATGAATGAAAGAGAACTCTCAGTCCACTCCAGACTAGATGTCAGCACCTGTCACAAAACTCAATGGCATAAATGCTTCTTTTTCAACAGTTCCACAGATGAGGCCAGGGACTGGCTGGCCTGAGAGCTTTTTTCCACTTACAGAAGGTTGGCTCTCCAGCTTGAGGCTTAGACATGCTACAGGGGCTGTGTATAGAAATACATCTTTCTGCTGAACTATACCTAGCCTGTGATTAAACAGAGGATTTCAGTCTCTAGGCTGCCAAGTCCATCACTGTTCAGGGGAGCTGTAAAAACACACTGACAAAAAGATGCAAGAAACTTTCATTCATCTTCTTCATATCTTGATATTGCAAAAAGGGAAAAAATACCTGGAAGGCTGTGCTCTAAATGGAATGATGGCTGCAGGTGACGGTGAAGGTGTTGATAAAAATGTGGACTGAATAGAATCCTATTGTACAATACTTCCCAAGGTGTTGGGGGAGCAAGAATAATATCTACCCTTCAAAAGCAATATGATACTTTCTGTGCCAAAAGTAGCATTTTAATTCTACAATAGAAAGCAGCAGGAAAAGCAACAAGCCTTAGTAATATTAAAAACAATAGTACAGCAATTGAAAAGGAAAACCATCTCCCAGGAAAGCGGATGAAAGCAGGGTAATATCAGAAATACAAGTTTCCTGGAGAAAGATAAACAGAACCCCACGACATTTCTCAGAAAGCATTACAGAAATGACCTGGCCACAGACCAGTTTAGGTATGGAGACTGAAGGAACATGCTGTATATCAGACTGCAGCTTCCATGTGAGCAAAGACATCCTGTGATGCTATTGAGATTTATCCCCAGAGAATACAATATTGAAAAAGGCATGGTGTTAAAAAAAGCCCTACCATATATACAGAGAGAAAAAAACAGGGAGGAATAATGTTGTGCCAGGCCATTATCAGGAAAAACAAAGAACTAAGAGTGAACTTAAAGATGAAAAATACTGTGTTTGGACATCTGTGTTAAAATATTACACACTGACCTCTCATGAAACCTTTCTCCAAACTTCCCAACTGCACAGGCCATCAGTGCTTGAAGGCCATTACATTTTCTAGCAGTGATTATACATGAAAGTGTCTGGGTTGGAAAGCATTAGAAAACATTGATCTTCCAGATATGAAGGAGGTATTATGGAAATGCAAAAGATAAAACTGTGAGGGCAAACAGAAACCAGTACCAAACTGTAGCCAAACCAGGTCCATACAATCCAGCCATGAGCAACTGTAAAAAAATCTGTTTTAAATGTCCAAATGCCATACAAAATCCTTCCTTGTCCTGCATGGAACTCTTTCAAGATGTTGCTGCCCAGAACATTCCCACTCAGTCAGTTGCTATGGATAAGCAACTGTGGCTTATGAAATAACATCCTAACAAAAAGTAGGTATTCTACATGGAGCCCAAACCCACTGAACTCTAAATAGCACTCTATCAAGCAAACCACTCAAATACTTCCTTGACACCCCATTTCTGCAAAAACTGTCACTAAATGGTAATACAAATATATATTCACAGGCATATTTTAGGGAGGGAGATCAACAGTCATACATTTCTACTGATACTTTACAATCTGTTACTGCAGTGTTTAAAAACATAGAAGTATAGAAAAAATGTTTCTTTTCTAAAGCAGGAAAGTGGCATTACAGAGGACAATACCCTAATAAGTATCTTTCCTTTCATCATTATCTCCTACAGAGTCTGGCTTCATTTTCATAAGTTCTTGTCTTATTTCTCTTTCTTCCAAGCGATTTTAGTTTGCTTTTAACCATATAAGACCAAAGCTGTTTTCTCTTTCCTATTCAAATAATGTTATACCATCAAAATCTTACGACTGTCTGAAGCCCTTTTGGAGATGTTACAGTATCTCTGTCTGCAACACTGCAGACATCTGTGAGTTGGCAAACAGGTAACAGCGGTGTTTATTAAATCACGTACTTTGTAGGCTAATCTGGAGGAAATCAATCACCTCAAGGAAAGCTCAGAGCATTGATTTGAACAGAGTAAGTAATAATGCTGCAGAAGCATATATCAAACCCACATAAAGCAGCAAGACAGAAAAGGCTACTGATTTCTTATTTATAGTCTTATTTTTGGATATACAATTCCCGTGAGTACAACACTGAATATACATGGAAAATAAAGACAAGCTTCTGCTCCCTTTTCCCAGGTGAAAAATGGATCAGACTGACTATTGAATTATTAAATGCAAGAATAACTTAGCCAAGAGTAAAGACAACAATTTTCTCCTAAAGTGAAATGCTAAAGCAGCACAATTGATTCTATTCCCATACTGAAGTGGTTAAAACACTAATGACAACTTCTCAAATAGCATTTATACATAATAATACACATACAATACACACAATAATTGATGTAACATTTGCACAATTATAAAGTCTAAAGAAAGATTTTAGAATTTAAATGCTAATTCACTCCATAATGATTTTCTTACACATTTTTAACACTTCCACTATACTTGGCTGGAGGAAAGGTGTTCTTCAGTAAACAAAAATGTATTTGGTGAACTTCCAATTACTTAAAAGATAAATATTAATATAATACATAACAATAATTGTAGAGTTATACAGTATTCCTTCCTTGTGAGGGTGGTGAGGCACTGGCACAAACTGCCCAGGGAAGCTGTGGCTGTCCCATCCCTGGAAGTGTCCAAGGCCAGGTTGGACAGGGCTTGGAGCAACCTGGAATAGTGGAAGGTGTCCCTGTTCCTGCCCACGGCAAGGGAGTTGGAATGAGATGATCTTTAAGGTCCCAAATCTTTCTGGGATTCTGTGCATGCTGCAAAATAAATCTGAATATTTTGAATAGGTTTATACTAAAGTAACATTTTTTTTAAGGTCTTTTACCTTATAGCATAAACATCTTTGCAGGAAGGAAATAACTACCATCCCTGCCTTTATCTCTCTGGCACCATGCAGATCCAAAGAGAGAAAAAACCTCAAAAACTTCAAAAAAATGCTGGTGTTAAAGATGATTCAGTATCACATGACACTTCATAAATGAAGCTGTAGGTTCTTCTCTCTTCCAAAGTTTTACACCTAATCATTTAGGAGCTATATATTCTTGCAATTCTACCCAATTTATGAACATGATTTCACTATAAAAGCCAGTTCTCAGGACATCAGGTGGATCTGCACCACTCTCTAAAGGACTGTGGCAAAAAAATAATACCTGGTTTAAACACACACAATATTTTCCTCTATGTATATTAAAAAAATCTCCTTTATTTTTTTTAGCTGCATCACAGTGAAAATAAGGAAACTAAATAAAGTGGAGTTAGTGGGGGTTCATTAAGGATTTTTCTTTTTTTTAAGTTCACACCTGTTTTTTTCTGTGAGTTAAGCTCACTTTTCAAGGCAACTTTCTTACTCAAATATCCAAGCTGCATATTTAACAACATAAAGCATGTCTACTGGCATAATTTTTTTTTTTATATATGAACAGTTTAAATCCAGGATCGAAAAAACATGAAAAGCTGCCCACAGTCTCTTCTACACAGATTCAGTTTGGCTTTTGGGGCACGCTTTTATTGAAACTGCCTTGCAGGGACATGTCTTAAATGTTATCTGGTTTTACTGAAAAGGCAGGCATGGTAGCCCATCCTCCATTCTGTCACAGGAAGAGAAATGTGTAAGATGAATAAAATGAAAACATATTTAGTGGATATGAAGATACGAAAATATTATGAGTGAGCGAGATCAATCTGCTAGAATAAACATCAGCATTCAGTGTGCAGGCAGTTTCTTTAACACAGAAGTTCACGTGCTAGTCTTGGGTTTTCTGGGTGTTTTTTGTCTAGTGAAATTTGAAACTGTTCCGTATCGCGCCTGCACTATGCAAACCTCAGTGGGTGTAAGTGCTGAGCCTTTAGGACATTTTTAGTTACATTAAGAGCGTTAAAATCTAAACAGACATCTCAGATCTCTTCTTATGCCAAGTTACAAACAACATAACTTTAAAAAATCAGCTAAACTGCCATGTTTATCCCTCTGTGAACACAGCACTTTGGTAGTGTCATACTCCAATTTTACCTGCTGGAATGAATTAGACACAGCTACTTTAAACCTGGGTTGTGCAGCGACAACTCCTTTATATTTCAAGCTCCAAACCTCTGCAACATACTTTTTCTTCCCTCTTTCTTCTTTATTCCTTCTTTATAATTTTCAGAGGGTTATTATGTAAATTTATTCCACACGTATCAGCAACACTACTGAGATCTGTGCACTTTCAGAGAAAACCAGCACACACATGGCAGCTAATCTACCAAACCCGTGACAAACCATGTCAGAAAGCAGATAATGCAACAAAGTAGTGCAGCAGACCTGTGCAGATTCCCAAATACACTC